CGAGAGCGAGAGCGAGAGCGAGAGCGAGAGCGAGAGAGAGAGAGAGAGAGAGCTTGTGAAACAAGTAGATTGGTTGGTAGGGGCGTGTGCCCCCGTGTGCTGTACTGCCGCCCTGTTAAAGACGGCCCACCCTTCTTTACATTGTACCTTAAAGCCGCACTATGCGCATCCAAACGCTAATTTCTCCAGTACTAGACAAGCCAATACTTCGTGTCATGCATAATCACACTACCTTATGGCAAAATAAACTCTAGTTCTTCCCATTTCAGTGCGCGTTTGCTTAAAACCCACAAGAAAGAGGTGCAAAATCTGGTAATCTGGCGCCAACGCTAAATTGTTTGCCAAACAATTTCTCCAAGAATCGGTTAGGTGACGTCACATGTTTTTATCTTTGCTACACCCGTACCGCTGTACCGCAGCACCGCTGCACGATTGCTTGGCAGAGCAACGCGAAAGTGTCAACAACATCGGAGAATTTGAACAACATTGGAGGTATTTTCAAATGCCTTTTATAAGACAACGCGCAGTGAAATGGGAGGAACTAGAGTTTATTTTGTCATAAGGTAGTGTGATTATGCATGACACGAAGTATTTGCTAGTCTAGTACTGGAGAAATTAGCGTTTGGATGCGCATAGTGCGGCTTTAATAAAGTCTGGCAAAGGTTCATTGTCGCTGTAAACAAGGACCCCTCCCTTTAAACTATGATGTAAACTCCTATAAAAATGTTAATTACTTCTGTTAAGGATGCCGCTCCCCCTTTAAGCTGTGACGTATATAATTTAGCAAAAGTTCATTATCGCCGTTAAAAGTACATTTCTCTTTAAAATTGTGATGTAAACTGTAGCAAAAGGGAATTATCGCAGCTTAAAGCTACTGCTTCTTTTTAATTGTAGCGTAAAATCTGGCAGAAGTCAGTTTTGGCTGTTAATGAATGTCGCTTCCGTTTTCAATTGATCTCGCAACTGCTGTCAAAAACGCCTATTCTCAATTCAAAGCACGTCAACTGTAAAGTCTTTTATATCATTTTCGAGTTGTGCAGTTTTTAGTTGTGCAGTACGATAGTCAGAAAAAGAATTGCCGACAATTAGAATTGTATCCAGCGTTGCCTAACAATATATATATTTTGAAATCTACGTGCCCGTCGTGTTATAAATCTTAAGCAGTTTCTTCTGTAAGATTTAGAGCTCCACCTATAGTTCGGACTGTTAATTATATGACATTTATTCATTTACTACACGATCATAAATTGACATACATATTATATTATTCATACGTGGAAAAACATTCAAGATTCCATATACTGTATCTTAAGGGGTACACGTGCCTATAATATGTCCTTGCACATCCCTTCATGTGTGTCGAAATAAATATTATCGAGCTGAAATTATGGGTTCAAACTAGAGA